ACTCTACCACTTGAGCCACAGCACCACTTCCAGCTCTGTTTATGTGGTACTGTGCAATCTAACCCAGGACTTCATGCATGCTAGGCAAGCACTCTACCATTTAGCCATATTTCCAGCCCATGACTTTATGTTAATAGGAAGCAAGTTCAGAAAAATATATACATGTAAGTAAAAACAGATCATGAATGAATAACAGCCCAAGGTACTTACCACATTAAGTACAATGTGGTGAAGGCACTGCACACCCAGGACCTTGTTCTCAGTTTGGTAATCATCTGAAATGAGCAAAGATGGAGGAAGTATACTTTCCAGATGCTGGCTTAGCCAGGGCCGAGTAATCTGTTGCAGAGTCCATGAAAAAACATGTTTGACTGCAGGGTTATTCTTCCAGGATTCCCTGAAAGGACACATGAAAACACACCAGGTAAAGTGACATGGTGATAATTAGCAAAGAAAAGTAACTAGTTTAGATTAAATAGAGTATTTTCTTGTTCTTTGGGGGAAAAATAGTACATTCCAGATAATTTTTTTTTTTTTTTTGCCGGTCATGGGGCTTTAACTCTGGGCCTGGGCACTGTCCCTCAGCTCTTCAGCTCAAGGCTAGCACTCTACCACTTGAGCTACAGGGCCACTTCCGGCTTTTTCTGCATATGTGGTGCTGAGGAATTGAACCCAGGGCCTCATACATGCAAGGCAAGCATTCTACCACTGAGCCACCTTCCCAGCCCAAGTAAGTTAATTTTATAAAATACATTTAGTGATTTGAATTAAAACAATTTACATAACATACACTACACACACACACACACACACACACACACGTATATATATGAAACCATCACCCAGGACTGTGATTGTAAAGCTTATCGAGGCTAAGGGCCAGTGGCTCAAGCCTATAATCCAAGTCAATCCATAGGTTGACTTGCAATTTTCTGGTGGTTAATTGAAGAGAAGTCTCCCAGACTTTTCTATCTAGGCTTGCTTTGAACTGCAATCCTCAGATCTTAGTCACCTGTGTAGCTAGGATTACAGGGGTGAGCTGCTAGAACCCAGCCCAATTTTATCTTTATATTACAAATAATGAGACAGATTCAGAAAATCTACCTACCTGGTCCTACTAAGAGAATTAAAAACAGACACTAGCTTCAAAATCAAACCTTTTAATTCCCAAGTTCTGTTGTAAAATGACATGCACATTTTTTCTCCTCACTCTAGCCTTAACAAAGTAAAAAGTGGAAACTTTCACAGAAAGCACTTCAGCTAATAGTAAAGTTTTCTATTTTTCCTTCCCATAATTGCTCTCCAAAGGATGAAAAATCCCCAGATTTAGGATTTGGAGGAATGGGCTTGAGTGGTACAACACAAGCTGCAAACAAAAAAGTCAAACAGGGGGCTGGGAAGGTGGCTCAGTGGTAGAGCGCTTGCCTTGCATGCCTGAGGCCC